CTTCGTTTCCTTGCAGCTGTGCTGGTCTGGGATGTAACAGATCAGATGGTGAGGACTGTTGTGATTCAGAAAGATACAAGTGCAGGTACCAGTTTGTTCAGCTGTAGTCTGCCCTAGCGGCAGCCACATGTTTAATCCATGTAACAAGGCCTCCTTCCATGGAAAACCCTTTGTGTGTCATTTAAGTCCCACCTCACTGTGAGGTTACAGGCCTGTCTGTATCCTACCAAAGCCCTACAGCAGGAAGCAAAACACCACTAACATGCCGTTTCTGCTTTTTTAGTTTGACTGTTATGTCAGTGCTTTCAGTTACAGTTTGCTTTAACTGTCTATTTAGCTCACATCTAAAAACAGAAGATCTATACAGTTAATCCTCCCCATTACTTTTCATTTATGTATTTGGAGGTAAAATGGAATAGCGGGGTTAAAAGCAAGGGTTCATTTTCCATCTTCTCTCACTGCATGACTAAAGATATGTTTTCTCATTATTTAGTGTTTTCAGGATGAAGCCAGCATCTAGAAGGAAGACTGCAGGGTTTGAATTCTGCAACATTCGCCGCAAGCACAAACAAGCCTACGATTGCAACATGCTGCAGCTTAATGGGCTTCAGCAAACTTCCACCAAGGAAAGCAGAAAAAATAGCAGGTTGGATACAAATACTATCTGCATCAAAAGGAAGATCTTACCATGACAATTCCCATGCCTAATTCATTAGCCCTTTTTCAAGGCTATGATCATTTCCGCTGACAAGTTCTGGGTCAGACCAGACTCATCCCTAAATGTTTCAACTTTATACCAATTAGTTCCTTCTCCGCCTATTTGAAAAGAGCGTGAAAAAACATGTGCTTGAGAAAAAAAAAACCTTCAAGCAGAGTGCAGTTAATGTATTTGCAGTCTAGGAGAGAGCACAACATGATGTGTTCTCTCGCGTGGCAGCTCAAAGTTAAGCATTTCCAGAACTTAAGAGAGAAGTGGCAGATAGTTGAATTGGCGATTTAAGGTTTATATCCAGCAAGCTGTTAGAAACTCCAGGTATGGACATCACACTCCTACCCACCTCACTTTGGATTTCATTAATCATCACATCTGTTCATTTTGCGCAGCACACCCACACTAAAAGGCACTTACATGCACCACATTTCAACATACCATGTTTTCAGTTCTATCTATAGCAGAGCAGAACTAGAAAAGAACATCTTGGCGGTGATAAAAAAAAAAAAAAAAAAACACCAATTAAATGTAAGCTGGCAATAACTGCTGCAGCTAGTAACTGTTGAGTAGTTACGAGACCAAGGCGCTATTACAAACAACACATACGCGCTCTCACACTTATTTCTCGAGATATAACAACGATACCACGGACAGGGCCTTTTGATTATGCCAGAGATTAACTTACATCCGGTATCATTCAACAGAGCAAGTACAAATTACCCTCAACGAATAGCGTTTCGCTAGAGTCAAATATGAATAGCAAGAAGATGAAAGCCAAATCAATCTGCCAGCAGCACTCAGCAGTCAAATGTTATTTCTTCCCGCGGCCTTACACAGACTCATTTGTCTTGGCGAGCACAAACTATTTGTTTATTTCATTGCATCCTCATTAGCTTCTGCCAGAGCAGTGTCAGAATCTTCCTTGGGTCTATGCTGTATAATTTAAATGAAATTCAGACACAGACTGTCTACATAAGAGACAAAAGAGAAGATAAATGAGCATTAAGGAGAACATGTTGCATGGCAGCTGCATTAATATTGAACTAAACGCTTCAGCAGAATGATGCAAGGTGTGTTACGAAATAAAAAGATGAAGAAATACAGACACATTACAGTTTATTTTTCAAATTTAACAGAGACCCTTTATGCGTTTTCCTATTTCTGTCATACATATAGAAGATATTCATATTAAAAAGCTGTCGGTATGTGCAGTTAATCACGAAGAATAAAAAGCCTCGGCCTCAGACTGCTCTAGACAATCTGTTTCTGTCATCCCAGTCACAAAGCTCCTGCTGGGAGCAGAAGTCCTGGCCACTAACAGTTTAAACCTTCTGTTTGCAAAGGGCGACCAATCAGGAAAAAAAGCTGGCTTAAAAGGAAGAAGATAAAAGTTAAAAATGGCTTGCTTCAGACAGCGTATGACCTAAAGGTTTGCACCAAGGCCTTATATAAAGTGAATACAGAGTAATCCCACAGAGTGCAAGAATCGAGCATAATACCTTCTCTCTAAGAATTTTTCTCTGGTTTCTAGAGAACATGTAATTGATTTGTCTTTCATAGTATAGTAGAAAGAAAATCTTGGTAGGTCCTCAAAGAACTAACCTTTGCTTGACAGAGTAATCAGGTTTGTCTGGCAAGGTCCTTAAGCTCCTTTATGTTGTAATGAACCAGATATTACAGGCATTTCTTATTTTCGAAACTAATCCAAGTTCATTCTGGAGGCGGCTCTACTCAGGCTGTAGAACCTGGCTGTGTCAGGATGACTAACAGACTTAATACAAGTAACAGCACCTCTATAAACTTGGCTAATGTTATGGCTCAAAATAGTGTGTAGTGACAGTACAGTGGCAGCTTGGTCCACTGTAGGCCAAGCAAGAAATGAAAAGTGTGACATGATAAGCATGTAGAATTAATTTCAGTGCAAGACTACAAATCTGTTTCTGCGTGGTGTTTAAACTGAAGTCCATTCATCAGTACAGGATGTCAAAGTGGCCGCTCCTGTTGAAGGTCAGCGGAGCACAAACCCAATTGTGTCTTGGTTCATTTAATTTTTAATTCCCATGGTCTGATAAGAAACAAATGCCAAATACAGCACAGCATCTTCCCCCCTTGCATTGAACTGGCAAACTGCCACAAGCAATCTGCTCCAGGGATGCTGATTTCTTGCTGGCCCTGACCTCTAACCTCCCAGGGGAGAGTTCTTCCCTTTGGGGATTAATGTCATTTCTGGTGATTATTACATTAAAACCAATGTTCAAATGCTTCGGAGCCAACAGAGCATTCAGCAACCAAATAACATTAAACTTGAGTCAAATTTATCCTGACTCAAAAATCTGGTTCCTCCTATGACTGCAAGTCTAAGGAGACCATTCATGATATCTGAAGTAGTAATGCAGCCGTGGTCACCGACATGTTGAAACTGGCACAACTGCAGCCCACGTAAGAGTCAGCTAGCAAGTATGAAGACAAGAATGATCATTTTTATTGTTATGGTTTCTAAATAAAAACATGACGGTTAAACAAGGAAGAAGGGGGAGAAAAAACACCAAGACAGGGGATCGGGATAAAACTCCAAACGCTTGATCCATTAACCCATATTCACTGACGCACCGGGTTGACAGAAGTCGCTGCAGGTTGTCAAAAGGAGAGCTCAGAGCATTTAAGCACACGATAAACATGGTGACTTCTACGAGGAATTCACTCACTGCAACGGTAAAGCTGAATGCGCACCTGAAATGGACGCTAAATGTGAAAATTCCACGCGCTGCTGTGCGTAACGGACAGGTAACACGGCGTTTGACGTGACTGGGAAAATGACTGAAAATTTGGACGTTTCCCTCACCTCATCGATATACAAGTGTCCGGGTGCAAAAAAGACGATGCAATGCCATAAAGGAATCTTATCACTCACCTTAGATGGCTTTAATATTCAGTCCTGAGCGCAGATTGTCTTGGAAAAGCCGAGGCGACGCTTCAGTGTTGCCGCCTGTCACCGGGAGGGAGGAGTTTGTGTTTACTCCAATATAACAGAACCGGCTGTCAGCAACCGCACGGATCCTCTCTGTTTTTGGCGAAGAGAGGGAGCCGCAGTCTGGCCACAAACTTTATTACAACGTGTGTGTAGGACTTCTGCATTACAGATTCACTTTTTTTTGTTTGTTTGTTACAAAGTCGTGTGGTTCCTTCTGAAGGTGTGCTTTAACGTAATAGGATTACATTTTACAGTTAATACTAGAGATGAAACGAGGGGGATTTGTGATTTAAATAAAGTGAATGAATTATGTATCGTTTTTTTGAACTGCAACAATGGGTGATGGACCGACACAAGAGTCTTTTGTTAATATGAGCAAATACACGTTCAAAGAATTGAATACGTCATGGTTTAGGAGAATGGAAAAAAATGATTCTCTCGATCATTGTAGCTGCTTATCTGTCCTTATCAGGAGGCATGTATCCCTGAGGTTTATAGCTCCAGTCATACTGGAAAAGCAGAACACTCTTCGTGTCTATTCTCAGAAACCAGCAAACAGCAAAAAACTGTGAAATATGATCCACAGTGAAACACGCTAATCTGATTTCTCTTTAATTTTGACATTTTTTTATAGTGTAAATGTGATTTATAATCTGTGACACTCCCGTGATAGCTTTAGTGCTTTATTGATGACGCATGCGTGTTATTAAGTGACAGCCCTCTTCCAGTAATTTTCTTTCTCATGCAAGATAAATAATTCATCTGCAATAAGTTTTATTGCCCTGCAATATCAAGGAAAGGACTTTGAAACCAAAGGCTGCAAACGTTTTTTTTAATAAGTCCAGCAGAAGGTGTGTGAAGTTCCGGAATTACAGGATCAAGAATCCTTGAAAGATTTGACATATTTCTTTTACATGTTTTGAAGTTGTTGGGTTTTGTTTGGCTCAGATCTTCAGATTCATCATCTGCACTTTACAATAATTTATTTCAAAAACAAATAAACTGTATATTTCTTCTTTTCTTTTTTCTTTTTTTTACATGACAATGGCATGGCACCGGTATTATTGTTGGTGAAACAGGTGTCTGTACTATGACAACCAGCTCCATGTTTCCCTTCAAACCAAAGGTCGCAGCCATAAACATGACATTTTATGACCAGCTATCTATATTCCCCTCCAACAAGGAAGGTAAATGAGAATTACTTAGACAATATTTAGAGGCTCAGAGGACCTTGATCTCATTCTGAGGCTTCACCAGAGCTTTAGAGAAGAAACTCTGGGATTCGTGTTTAACTAGTGTAACTGGAATACAGTGATAATGCCTTCCACAAAGAAGACTCTGCATTTCATATCCAGTGCTTTGGCTACATCTATATCTGTTGGGATTATTGGATATGGCATGTCAACAAAGTGGGTTATAACAACCATGGAGTGCGCACGAAAGGATTCTGGTGTGTACAATGGATCTGCTGAGATCACCTTGACCCTTTTTGATGGAATATTAGAGAGATCCTCCTGCCCCCTGTTTGGAGCTACAGATACATTTCAAGGTAATTTTCTCTCATATATTTCCACAATGTTGGCTGTTTTTATTTTAGTTTAATAAATTTCAGTCGCTGACACATCCTACCTTCAAGCAATGGGGAAAATTTAATTTCATTTGATTAATTTTGACCACCAGCTTCTGGTCTTACTCTAGAATCTGTGTCGCTTTTAATGTGCATAATGAAAAGAACACACTGTCAACAGTTTTTCCTTCTGACACAAGTTGTTATGATTAGAAGTCCCAGACAGATATCTCAAAATAAAGACAAATACTATCAAAACTTCCATCGTGAAGGAGAATTAGATCCTATGAAACTGCTCAGGCAGTTTTACCAGCCTCTTGTACTCAATAAACATGGAAGTTCAGTACAGCATTAAATGTAGGACCATAATGACCTGTGTTTTTCTGTGTTTAGTGATTCCTACATTGGCAGGAAGAGAAGTTGTTCCAGTAGTCCTACAGGGTCTGGTTTTGTGCCTTCTTGCCCTCTGTCTGCTGTTTTCGGCATGCAGCATCCTCATCTCTCTCTACAACAGTGTCAGCAATCCTTATGAAACCTACATGGGGCCTGTTGGAGTCTACATCTGCAGCTCTCTCAGTGGTAAGTGACCGATATGTTATAGCAGTAAGGATGTTGCAGTTGCACAAGCGGAAGTGCTGGGGCATTTCCATGAAAAAATAAGGTGTGATTTTTGTTCTATTCTTTTGTTTGTGATATTTCTAATGCTACTTATTCTCCTGCAGCATGCTTGTCTGTGATAGTCCTCATCCTGTTTGTGGTGAACATCAGTGCAACCAATATGGCAGAAACCTTTGTAGAAAAGTTTACTGAGGGTGTTCCAGTAGCCCTGAAGGGAAAGGTTTCAGTGATGCAGGTAGGATATTACCTGGTCATCCCTTACACAGTGCTCTCTCTCATTGCCATCGCCTTGATCTACACATATGAACATGCAGCCTACACACGCAAAAAAGAGCAGCAAAAGCCTACAGAGGATGCACCCGTGGACTTAACAATGTATTAGTGCAACAGAGACCATGGAGTTTTCAATAGCACTGATATATTAAAGACTTTCTCAAGAAACCTACTGTAATGAAAGATAACTGACTGTGGTTATACACAATAAGGTCTGGATACACAGTAAAGCCTTGTTCATTGTATGATAGATTTATAATATTTAGTCTTACTATATCAGGAATAGTCTGGTCTGATCAAGTACCTTACACTTAAATGTCATGTTTTCCTGTTATCTCATTATGAGCAACAATTATGTAATTTCGGCATTTTGATCAAATTTGATATCAAGGTATGACAGTGCAAAGTGTTTGCTGATACAGTAAAAATATTACCATGTAAATTTCTTTTCATTCATATGTTTTTGACAGGAAATTCCATTCTTAAAAAAATAACTATTTATTCTGTTTGTTTGTTTTTTTAATTTTGTGTAATCTTTTTGGATTAAATTTATCAATTTAATTTTAACATCATGGTAATATAATCATCACAAAACATGCTTTACAGATCGTCAGGCAGACAAAACCTCAATGACTTTACTGTTTTCTGTGTCTCAGCTTGCAAAATAAAACATTAGAAAACATGAATAAAGTGATGAGATTGGATTGGTTTTACTTGAAAAAATGAATTTTTGCAATTTAATGTTATACATTTACTGCGGTACTGCATTACAGATTCACTACGAACAAGCAAAATGATTACATTTATTGGAAAAATCTAAAAGAGCGAGTCAAAAAAATGGATGAACCCACTGAGGGGTTTTTTACTGATGTCTGCTGCCCCCTATCTCTGAAATTATGTAATTGCAAAGAGATGCCAACAAGTCAACAGTTTCAACCGGGAATAAAAGAAAAAGGATTTGTTTTCAGTTAAAGTCTTTAATTTGCTATTATGCATTACTGGCACAATCATTTGAAGGCTCGAATTTATCTTTAGAAGAGAGAATTAAGGCACACCCAGTCTACCCAACATGGAATAGACCACTGGTACCCACCTTTTTATTGGTTCTGGTCCACAGACCTGCCAATAAACTTGATAACTCAAAAGCAGCATGTGTTCTGTGATACTTATTTCTTCAGTCAGTTTCTTTATTAGCTTTGGTTCTCCCTGTTTCAATCAACTGCATTTATCTAACTACTGTTTCCACTTGGAGTCAGTGTGAATATATATTTAGAATTATTTATTCTACTTTCCAGTAAATGTGCTTTGCCAGCAGGTAACTACACAGCTACTTACCTTCTGAATTACTACAGAAGCCATATGGATTACCTTTCTTACCTTCATCAATTCATGGCTCATCAGTGAAGCGGTGCTTAAGTTGAGCCCTTTAAACTCCAGTGATGCATTGCATCTTAACTGTATCCTTTTCCACGTGAGACCTACTACAGAAACCCCTGATGAGAGATAAAGATTTATTACTCAGCTGTTTAAAACATTTCAAAGGGCTGGAAAAATCGCAGCCGATGCTGGCCAACGTATTGATGGTTACAAAGCTTGCAGATTTTGTAAAAACATAGATCACAGATAGATCTTGCTGAGAGTTGGCGCCTATTGTCTCCTGGATCTTCGGGCATTCTCACAGCTGTGATTCACATGGCTGTGTTGACATGAGAGCAAGGGTGAGGTGTCCTGTTACCGTTTCCCCTGTCCCATCACTCAGGGCCTAAAGTCTGTTTGGACATGCCCTTTGCAGCACCTCTCAGCCCTGCAACGCCTTCTACCTGCCTTCAAAAGAACCACTCTTCCTTAAAGTCTCACACTTCAAGGGACCTGTGGAAGGATGCAGCAATTTGCTTTGTTGTCGTCAGCGTGAATATGTATTCAATTTCATGCGTTTGCATGCTTTCTGCAGCAATTCAGAGACATATCAGGCCTGAGAGAAATTCTGTTAGTAGAACAAGAAAACTCACCATGCTTTTTGAGGTGAAAAAAGCCAGTTTTTAGTCTATAAAACAGTCATTACCTTTCAAATTGTAGCTTATGTTTTATAACATGCCACCAAATAGCTCCTGCCAAATATCCTTCTTGCAGAGCGATGTAGACTGGCTTAAACCTGCAGCTGTGACAAGGACACAGTGTGAAGTTGCGACAGGTTGTGTTCTCCAGAGGAAGCCACGTCAAAGCATGTTTCAGCACAAAACCGCCTGCTGTGAAGATGACAAGCCCTTCACAAGAAAGCACGGATTTGCCAGCCATTAGAGACCCTTTTAGTTTATGTTTTACTTTAACTCTGACAGAATGCAATAAACCTGTCTTGATCTCTAAAATGATCATTTATTTATTTAGTATCAGTTAGCAAAGATATATATACAGCTTCAATCTCACTTTCAGTCATTTCAAGTTGATACACAGTAGAATTCTTCAGTTCTGAACATCAGCTGGTTTAACAGCAGCCAGAGGAGAGATGTTTAACTGTAACTATTACTGCTTTTCCTCTTTGTGCACTGAGGTGTGGAATAGCTGCTAATAACGGATTCTTCTTGCCGTTTGCTGTGCAAACACTGACTGAATAAAATCAGTGATGGGCGGTAATCTCTTCCTCTCTGCATACTCTCGGTCTCAGAGCTGACCAGAATGGATAAACCTGGGATTAGGCAGAAGCCCTAAGCCCTGACCACTCACTCTGTGTGATAGGATTAAAGCAGAAACTTTTGTACCTGTGAAACATTATCCACTAAGGTCCTGAATTACAGAGGACTGTGAAACAGACACCTCCAGCTGCGGGGAAGTGGGGTCACACATTCAGCCATGTCAAGTAAACGGTGGTAGGCCATAGTGGAACGGGGGAAGGCCTGGCCACCTTCCACTTTTAGGAATATATTGCTGGCAAGTGAGCAGCATGGTGAATACATGTAGGAGTATAAAACTTTCTACTCTAGTGAAGAACTCAAATAGCTTTATACAACATGTCATTCACCCATTATTTTGTGCAAGAATTTTTTTTCTACATCTAAGATTAAACGTTCACACACACTCAAACCACCAATGTTCCGATTAGCTCGTGACCTGCTCCACCTCCCGAACCACCACCCCAAAATACCGAAGAAGAAGAAGAAGAAGAAGAAGAAGAAGAAGAAGAAGAAGGAGGAGGAAAAACATGCCAAGAACCAAGTGGTACAAACAAAATAATAAAGCTTATCAACCCGAAAAATAGAGTCATGCGCCAAGACTCGATTATTTGATGTCGTGATTACAGTGGCGTGACTTTTTTCCCTCCACTGTGGCAGTAGGGTAGGTGTGTCTATCAAGGTGTGCCTCCCTGTTGCATTTCTCTATGATGTAATGAACTTCTATAGCGCTGGTGGTGCTGTCAACTGATACAATATCTTAGCAACGCCTATAATACTGCATGACATATTTTACAACACACACATGTTACTTAAAAACTTAAAGCTGTATATATTTGAAACACTTTTTTTATACTTTAAGATGACATTTTTGTGACTTTTTATAAAGCAGTTTTCTACACATAATGTTTGTTGTTTAATTAACTAAAATTAATCTTTTTTTAATAAACTGTATTTTATGAATTTGTTCTGTCGACACAGAAAAGCAGCTCTATATGTGATTTCAAAATTGTTTTTTTTATGAATTTGGACATAAGTTTGATTTTAAGACATTTTAATGGATGCGCATGGCTTTGAGTCTGTCTTGCTGTGATCATAAGGTGTTCTCACACTCAACTCGACTGTGTGATATTGGAAGGCAGGCTGGTTTCTTACTTATCTCCATCATTAATCTTAATTTGTCAGAGAAGGCTGAGGTGAAGGTGGCGGGAAAAAAGAGAAGGAGGAGGAGGAGGAGGAGGGCTGAAAGGTAATTGCACCCCTGCTGCTCCATTATGGTGTCATTCCTCTGTTAACAGAAGATAAGATCTTCCCCAAATCACCTGAAGCCAATTCTCCACTTTACCTGCACAGACAGAGAAAAGGAGGAAAAGACAGAAAGGGTTTTTGGCTCAGTCTCGCCCAAACAGCGATGGAGACAAATTGATATAGTCACTCTGTGTAGAATCTTACTCACCATTTTGTCTGTATGGTATTTGTATCTATACCTACAAGATGCAAATTGTTGACATGTTACAGCCAGAGTGATGGATGGATGCAGGGCTGAGCACTTTCTCTGCCCCATGCCGCTTGACACTATGGTTGATTAATGTGGTCTTGATTGGCGGGTGCGATCACTGGTTCAAGGAAGGATGGATACATTTAACCTACTGACACAACACGAGGTTCAGTTGAATTGGAGCCATTTGACCCAGACACAGAAACAGTTAACATCAAAAACAGTCAGTCAATCTCATAGGGCTTTTTTTTTTTTTTCATTAAAGGACATGGCTGGACTTTCAGATACTGTTCATCTACTGTAGGTAGGTTTTTACCTCCATATGTCCAGTTTCCTCATTATTTTAAGGACACACTGCACACCGTGACAGGATATGTTAAGTTTTTGGCTAATAGTTCGTTGGGAATCAACTTGTTGGTGCAAAAATACTCTTTTATGGCTGTAAAACTTTGATATCTGTGACAGGCTGCTAATAAGAAAGTATCTGAAGATTCTTTTGAAGGTTCTTTGATAAGATGTTTTATATCCCTTGAGTATGGTGTCTATTTTTTCCTTCTTATCCTTGAATGATTTGTGATTCATTCACTGGCAATGACATAACAAACAAAAACACATTTTGGTCAAGTACAACGACTGGAATAAAGAAAGAGTTAAAAAAGAGTCAGTGTCCAAAGAAGAAGCAAAAGACTTTAAGAAAGACCATTTTTTAAATTAAAGGACAGTCTGTTTCCGTGGAAATAAAATATGAAGAGATGAGTGGTGGCTCAAGACTTTCGCACAGTACTGTGTATCTGTCAAGAAACTTTTCTTTACTTGAATTCTAATGGATATATAGCACACATTGCTTCTCTTCCAAAAGTCACGGAATTTTTAAAACAAAATACACCAAGTCTACATAATAACACATTTTTCACAGGAGGAAAACCTTTCAGGATAGTGAGGTACTCAAGCACAGCTCAAGGGGGCAGCATACAATAACTAGATCAACTGAATGAAACAAACCCCTTGACACCTTTGTTACCATAGATGCAGATTTGTAGCCAAATAACCGGGAATTGATTATGGGAATAGTTTTTAATTGTTATACTTTTTGCATTAAATCACATTTAAGAGTAAATAACTTCAATTAT